ATTTTTAGGCCCCGAAATAATTTTTGGCGGGGGCCGAACGCCGTCGGGTTTGGGCCCCGTACGGGACCCCAAATGCCCGAACGTACAGAGGTCCGCCCGGGGGCCTCCGTACGTACGGGCTGGTAACCCTGATTTATGTTAATTTTATTAATTTTATTATAATTTTATTAAATTTAATTATATTTATTTTTATTATTTATTATTTTTATTATTTTAATTATTATTTAAATTTATTTTTAAATTAAATTTATTATTTTTATATATATACTTTTAAAATTATTTTTATTATTATTATTATTTATTATTATTATTATTATTATTATTATTATTATTATTATTATTATTAATTTATTATATACATTTAAAAAGAAAAGTTTTTTTCTGAAAAATGTATGTGTGTGTGTGTGTGTGTGTGTGTGTGTGTGTGTGAGAGAGAGAGAGAGAGAGAGAGACCTGCAGCATGCAGCATGTCAGTGGCGGGGAGCACAAGGGCAGGCACTGACCTCCAACAAAAGGAAGAAGTAATTTTATCGGAATACAAGAGTTATGTCTTTTCGAAATCCGAACAGAAAGGGTACACGTTCTATTCCAATACAACGAGTACTTTTTCTATTCGCGGAACTCTGGTATTCGAGAAAAGTGGACTGCGGCCTCCTTGGCCTCCTAGGCGCAGCTACCGGTCCTACGTGGTCCTGGACCAAAACCCGTGCGGTCCCAAGGGCAGCTGCAGGTCCTGGGGCCTGGACCCACTAGCAAGGTATTCTACCATGCCGTTCAGGATTTCGATCAAGTGTGGCATCGAGTGACTCAGTACGGCCGTCGAATAGATAGGATCTCGACGGCCTGGTAGTTTCCGAGCGGGGACTGTAAAGATGCCCACCTCCCGTCCAATGAGATGCGTGGGAAAAAAAAACAAAACAAAGTTGGACTAACTTGGACATGATAGCTCGTGGCTTTGCGTGGGCGGGAAGTTAGTATTTTATGGGCTATAAAGTGGGGGGGGTTGATTTCCAGACCTCGTTTTTTTTTCTTCTTTGGCTCTGAGAAATAGAACTTGAAATGTGAAATTCGAATATTGTGGTGCATCTGACAGGAAAGCTGCCGCCTCTGTCGGATGGCCTGTTAGAGACATCATAAGATACATGGGGATGAATGTATCCCTATAGGGATTACATGTTCATCCTTGTGGCTATGTTCGTGGACACGTTTTATTGCCACGGTACATCAGTATGAAGACTTACGTGAAGGAGATCGTACCAACACATGAATTCGGATGCACAGCTGTTCTTCATAGTTTTATGTGCTATTTCAATTCAGTTTAAATCAGAAACGATCCATTCATGCAAATAAAAACTCACTTTGTATTTTCCAAAAAACCATAAAACTGTCACAGGTCGTAGAATACTTGCTAGTGGGTCCAGGACCCTGCAGTTTCAAATAAAATGCCACCACCCCCTAAACTGCCATGCCTTGTTTTTCCAACGAAAAATGTTCTCAGGGGCATAAAACGCACCCCTGACGGGCTGGGAACAAGGGGCGGGCTCTCTGGACCAGCTGTCGCTACCCTGGCTCCAACTCTTTCACATCCTGTATTATAGGTGTCTATCCTTCGCGAACCGCGTGGTTCTTGTATTGGCTAACGCCGCTAACCACAGGGGACTGGGGGGGAGCGTGAAGAATAGCAGCCCTACCGGTAGTAAGGCTCTCCGAAGCTTTTTTTCGCGCTTTTTTTTTTTTTCAATAAGAAATCGGTGGATTTCAGCGAACAGTCAGCAGCTGGGGGATGTTGTGTACGTGGGATCGAAGAAAAGCGACGGGCGCAATTCGTTGTGGAGGGAAAAAAAGAGAAAGAAAAGAAAAGGACACGTCTGCTTTGACGGTCACTGCGCCTGGCAGTGACGTGGGGGTCGGTTGGGTGCTCACATCATACATTTGACGGCACGGAGCTCCCATTTCACTCTTCATGTTCTGATGCCAATACTCGAATTGGATACGCAATCACAATCGGGATCGGTATCATGTTTGCTGATCTTCGATTGGTACATACATTGACAGGCTTTGCTGACCGTTGATTGGGACATCAACAGGGTTAGATCGATGGGTGGCGTGGCGCTTGAGGAGAGGCTCAATCATAGGTAAAAGGGATTGAAGCGCCTGAATGCTGATCAGCCACGTGGAGTGCCTGGATGCCAGTAGCTCCAGATAGCCATCTGACCACCATCTGATCACGAAAGTTATACCGTCTTCCCTCCCTCGAACACAACGCACTCCGACTACTGCTCGTAATATACGCAAAGGCATCTACTCTTCTCTTGAACACAGCGCACCCTGATTAAGAACCAAGTCAGGCAATCGTCTTACCCCGAACACAACGCACCCTGATTCGTAATGCATGCAACCGATCACAAAAGCTCGTAAATCAGTCATCATCTGGTCGCAAAAGCCACCCTCTTCCCCCGAAACACAGCAATCGGTCAGCATCTGGTCATAAAAGCCACGGTCGTACATCGAACACAACGCATCCTGATTACGAATGCATGCAAGCTATCTTTCCAGTCCGATACACTCATGATGAGGGTACGTTGTATACGGGAGAAGGGTGAAGGCGGTAAGCCATCTGGGCACAGGAGCTACCTTCTTCACCCCGAATACAACGTACGGTCATTCTAGCTGTATTTGGGGTATCTTTCCATCTAAATACGGGCAATAATGACCGTGCGTTGTATTCGGGGGACGAAGGTAGTCAGTCCATCGATCTACTCGTCACCTCAGCTGCCATTTGTCCACTGAGATAGAACGCTTCCCGCGTTCGTTTTTATTTTTTATTTTATTTTTTCCACCTTTTTCTGTTTCCCCCCCCCCGAAAACATCATATCTTGGTGCCCTCCCCTACTCCAAGTCTGTGCTGTGGCATTCCAATTGGTGGATTGAATGGGAATTTTGGACCAGATACACCTGCACACATTCTATTTGGGCGGCGAAGTGTAATCAACGGCTTGAGGGGGGCAGTACAAGAAACTGTTGTTGACGTCAACGACTCCAGTGTGAGGAGAAGACGGGTGGGCCTGAAGGGTGCAGGTCCTGCTCGAAATAAAATAATGCCCATGTGATCGCCCCCGGTCTCGCTCGATTCCGAGCCTAGTCCAGATTCATTCCGAACCTGGCCACAGCGCTAGTCCAGATTCATTCCGAACCTAGCCCGTTAGGTTAAGAAGGGGTTCATCATAACATGTGACGGAGGTTAGCCGGAGGTAAAAAAAAAAAGGTTAGTACAGAGGTTCGGAATGAATCTGGACTCATTCCGAACCTAGCCCGTTAGGTTAAGAAGGGGTTCATCATAACATGTGACGGAGGTTAGCCGGTGGTAAAAAAAAAAAAAAGGTTAGTACAGAGGTTCGAAATGAATCTGGACTCATTCCGAACCTAGCCGTTGGGCACTCGGAGACCACGGTTCTTGCAATCTGGCCACAATTGAAGTCAGATACGTCGGGGAATGTCCCACAGTGAGTACGCCCTAAGTTAACAAATCCGAAAAGAAGAACACAGAGCTGAACTAGTGCGAGTCGGGGATTCGTTGATCGGTCTACTCAAGGAGTAAGTGCAGACGATCGGCCAGGCGCTGGCACACGGATGGTCGGATCCTGCGATTCAACCACCCACCATCACCTCCAGCAGCACCGTCTGTAAGGTTAAGCAAATCATCGGGAAGCCACCTCCAAGCTCATCGCCTTCGTCCCCAACACCCTCTCCTCCCCCTTTGTGCCTGTGTGTGTCTGTCTGGCTGTCCCTCTGTCTCTCTCTCGCACACACACTAATCTCTGTCTATCTGTCTGTCAGTCTGTCTCCCTCTCGCACACACCCACACACCCACACACCCACACACCCACTCACACACCCACACCCACACCCACACACTCACACACTCACACACTCACACACACACACACACACACACACACACACACACACACGCGCGCGCGCGCCTGCGCGCGCGCATTCAAGCAATGAAGTAAGACATAAAGGGGGATGTTTGACGAAAGAGGAAGGGAGAGGACGTGGAACGACGGCTCTCCCTCCCTCTCCTCGTTTGATTGATCGCGGAGGGAGATACTGAACGGAAGGTGAGGAGGTGATGGGCTCGGCGGGGAGGTTAAAGAGGATGGAGGGTCGTCGCGGAGCCGATTCGTTGGGATCCCGGTGCTGGTCATCATGGTGCTTCTGGCTCGCAATGATTGCGGCCTTGTCATTTGGGAACTGGGCGGCTATGGCCGCCGTCACGACCACCACACCGCCGCCGACGGTGCAGAACGTTCCATCGTCCCTAGAGGTCGGGACTCTTAACGTGAAGATCAACGTCTCTGACATCGTCATCCGCGTGACTGTTCTCGAGGGCGAGCCATTCTACGTGACCTATCAGATCAACACGAGCCCTGCAATTCGTTACGGCGCAGGCCTCACCACTGGCATTCTGAGCATGTTCATAAACCAATTACCAGACGGTCCTTATTCCCTGGTAGTGCGGGCGTTCGACGCCAAGGGAGTGGGGAGCACTGAGTCCCTCGTCTACACCTTTTTCGTGGACACTCAACTCCCAGAGTCCCAGCTCACCGTTGTGCCCCCCTTGCTGTCAAACGAAGTCAGGTTCACGTTCCAATTCAACTCCACCAAGACCTCTACCTCCTATGGCATCTCCAGCTTCTACTGCAGCATCGATAGCGAGACGATATTCCTACCCTGTGGTCAGTGCGCTATCGGCGAGCCCCGTTGCGAGGGGTCCTATCAGGTACCCCCCTTAGACGACGGCGAGCATATCTTCCGCCTCAGGGCCACCTACAACTTCGCCACTATCAATCCACGCGTCGAACAGACAGAGAGGGCTCCCAAGGTGTATAGGTTTGTGCTGGACACCACTCCTCCCAAGATCATCGTCAGCGAGCAACCCCCTCTTCGAGGCAAAGACGCCCGAGCGGTATTCAAGTTCAGCTGCAAGGATATGTTCTCTAGCAGTTGCAGTATGTTTTGCAAGCTCGATGGCAAAGACCTTGGGGGATCGGGACAGAAACGATGGTCGGAATGCTTCGGCTTTGTGAACATGATCGTCACCCCTCGAACCCATGCCTTTCAGATCTACGGCCAGGATCCCGCCGGCAACAAGAGCCCTATCTGGTTATACACGTGGTATGTTCAAATGGAGGCCCCCATGGCAGGATTCGGAGACCTGGACAACTACGTAGGGGTCGTTCCCCACGACTCCTCCTACCCCAATTACCAGCAACCGCCTGGAAAATATGGCTTCATCACAGCCACCAAGCTCGTCAATGGGATGAACATGACGGCTCTCGATGTGACAAACTCGCCGGAAGTCTCCTTCAAGTTCATATGCGGATATCCCGCTGAATGACTCGGGGACATCATTACCTGAATGACATTGTTTCTACTATCATTTTCACATCTTCACAAGTAATGATGTGTTCTCTGAATCTTCTGAACACGCCAAACAAGGAACCATACATACTTCGAATCGTGATTGGCCTTGAATCCCTTGATATCAAGAGAAGACTTAGCGTCGTTAGCGAAGTCAGTCGAGGACGAAAAAAAAGACTCTGTCAGTGAGTGAGAGTACATGATGTAAGAAAAAAGTGAGAGTACATGCAGCAGTGCTAAGTAGGACCTGACGTCGCTGACGAAAATGCCCAGTTGCGGCCAGGAGCGTCAACGTTAAATGCCCCAAGGGGCAAGTATACTGTAAGCCGAATGAATAGGGTGCTTTACTATTGCCCCTTGGGGCATTTAACGTTGACGCTTGGGGATCAGGCCGCACTAATGCTGTGGTCGTGCTTAGAAGGTTTGTGTATGATACTATGTGGATCAGGCCGCACTAATGCTATGTTCGTGCTTAGAAAGCACGTACGTACGTAACCTGGGCATTCTCAGGACCAGGATCATGCTGTCTAGCATAAGCACGAACATAGCATAAGAGGGGCTTGCTCCTGACAGAGTACACCATGCCAGTGCAATTCATCGTCCTTCTTCCTCTCTTTCTTCTTCTTCTTCTTCTTCTTCTTCTTCTTCTTCTTCTATGCTTGGAGGGAGGGTGAGTTTGGTGGAATCTGGAAGGTTGGGAGAAGTGGTCAGGTGCCTGACGAGAAGCTGGTGCACTACCAGCCGAAAACGCGTTGGGGATTGAGCGTGTTTCGTGTGCTGGACACGCAGTAGCTTCGAACTGTTCAATTGTACACATGTTTTCGTTCCATGTTGGCTTCGCAATTCACTATTCTTCTTCCTCTTGTCCTCCTCCCCCTCCTCCTTCTCTTCTCCTCCTCCTCCTCCTCCTTCTCTTCTCCTCCTCCTCCTCCTCCTCCTCCTCCTCTTCTTCTTCTTCTCTTCTCTTCTTCTTGTTCTCCTCTTCTTCTTCTTTTTGTTCTTCCTTGTGCTGCGGGTGCTTTAATTTCTAGCTTTGATCTTCTCTTCTTCCTTTCTATTCTTCTTTTTCTTCTTCTTCTTCGGATTTCTTCCCTCCTTCTTCCTCTTAGTCGTCTTCTTCTTCTTCTTTCTTTGTGCTACAGGTGCTTTCATTTCTTTGAGCTTTCGGCTTTTTTCTCTTTTTTATTTCCGCTGAAATGTTATTACGCTGTAGTAGAATGATCATTTCGCTGCTGTAGTAATTGGCACGAATCAACAATCACCCTTTGATTAGAGGCGTGGAGAAAAGGGGGGTGAGAAGGGGGGACGAGGAAGGGGAGAGAAGGAGGAGGAGGGGCCACGATGAGGACGAGGGGATACTGTTCTTCTTGAGAGGCGCTTTACGCACCGTTTGACGATCCTGCAATCGATTACCACCGGCTTCCCCCGAATAGAACGCACGGTCATAGCTGAATTTGGGGCACCTTCTACTCCAGATACGGCAATAATGACCGTACGTTCTATTCGGCGGGGAAGACGATAGCTAGCTACCTAGGCCAGGGCACTGGCGGCGATGTTTGCTGTCTAGCGCCGGAGCTGGTCCGCTACAGGTCTCTTCTCTTTTCTTTTTTGTTTTTTCACTTTTTTTTTTTTTTTTTTTTTTTCCTTTTCTTTTTGTTTTTGTTTTGTTTTGTTTTGGTTTGGTTTGTTTTGTTTTGCTTTGGATCTCCGACTCTCGGAGCTCAGTTCTGGGCTAATTTTGTACTGACCGCCACACCTGAACGAGGGTTAAGTGGGGTTAGGGCAGAACAGGGGCGATGTCACACTGGCAAGGAGGATGTAGCGCCCGAATCTGGATGCGTTTTCTGCAGAGATGCAGACAAGCAAGTCAATGGCCATTTTTTGCACCTCTCCAGAAAGACGTCCAGATTCAGGCATTAAATCCAATCCTCAACTCAATGCTACCAAGTGGGGACCTCGCCCTTGGGGCTGGCTGTTGAACTCAGCTGGATCTGTTTCGGGCTAGGCCCGCTATGGTACCTTATCGTAACCATGACGGTAACCGTGATCCCCCGAATAAAAGGTATGCTCATCACATTTGTATACAAACCAATTTCAAGGTCAGACACACAGCTATAATGACCATGTCGTCTATTCGGGGGAACGGCGATGGTTGGGCGTGAACCTGCTTCATCAGTCAGCGGCATCATGCGTATTAACTTAGCTTGAAGCCTTGAACAGACCTTAGGTTATCGTGGACCCACTTCAACGGCACACTGTGTGCAACAATTAGCATGGTAGCTTAGCATCAGACCTACAAGCTGCATCAAACCTACAATCTGGACTAGGTTCATGCATGCTAACTTAGCAATATCATAACTTGCTAGTATGCTAGTATGCTAACGTAGGATGAAGCTGTCCTAACTCAGCACGAGTGGTTTTGAACTCGCAGCTGTACCAGCTTTACCGTCTTCACCCGAATAGAACGTCCGGTTATTATAGCTGTATCTGGACTGAAAGGTGCACCAAATAGGTCTATAATGACCGGGCGTTCTATTTGGGTGAAGAGGGTAGGCCTGCTGCCTTAGCATGATCCTATCCTAACATGGCACAAGCCGGGTCAGATTCTCAGAATCTCAGGTGCACCAGGCTCATGCTTGGTAGCAGCAGGTAGCTTAGCATGTACCTATCATAAGTTCATAACTCAGCACGAACCGGACTGGACTCTCAACTGGACCAGGTTCATGCATGCTAACTTAGCATGCTTGACTTAGCGTGAACCTCAGAACCTATCCTAACTTAGCAGGAGCGGTCCGAGCGGGGTCAGATTCTCAGATGCACCAGGTGCACCAGGCTCGAGCTTGGTAGCTTAGCATGAACCTATGGACCTATGGTCACTTAGCACGAAAGGGATCGGACTCTCAACTGGACCAGGTTCATGCATGCTAACTTAGCATGCTTGACTTAGCATGAACCTAGTATCCTAACATAGCACAAGCGGGGTCAGATTCTCATGCTTGGTAGCTTAGCATGGACCTATCATAACTTAGCACGAACGGGCTCGGACTCTCCGCTGGACCAGGTTTATGGATCTTAACTTACCTTCTTCCCCCGAATACAACGTACGGTCATTATAGCTGTATTTGACACATCTTTCAGTCTAGATACAGCTATAATGGTCGTCCGTTGTATTGGGGGGAAGAAGGTAGCATGCTTAAGTTAGCATGAACCTAGTATCCTAACATGGTACAAGCTTGTGCCAGCAGAGAGTGAGTTGGAGCAGGATGGTGTTCGCTTAGCACGAACCCACTACCATATATTATCGCTGATCGAGATCATGACAATGTCCCTCCCTCCGCCTTCCTCCTCCCTCCTCCCTCCTCCCTCCTCCCTGACTGCACCCGCCCTCCCCATCTCCTTGCTTCCCCTCTTCTATAATCTTCTCCTTTCCCTATTCTGTTCACTGAAATTCTGTTTCATGGGTTCAATGGGTTTTGCCCCGTCCACGAATCCACGGCGTCCAGCGCGCTGGGCCTCTGTACTCTTGGGTTACCCTTTCCCGAAATACCAGTAGGATTTGCAGTGGCTCTCTTTCCCCCTTTTCTTAAATCGAGAAAAGAGGGTTCTTTTCTATGACAAATATCAAATGGAGGCCGGGACCTCACACTAAACCCGAAAGTAACTCTAGGAGCATAACCCAGTTCTCTTTTGTAACCACATGTCAGCCAAACTCACATTTCATTTTCACATTGTCACGGATGGACTTTCCATTTCTACTTGTACCGAACTAATGCTACGACAACCACTGCGACCGTACTCAATTGAGTACCCTGTTCATGTTCACGGCACTCTTGCTGTCTTCTACTGCACCCTATCATCCCTATGTGACCGAGTGCCCTGGTCCTCTTACTTACCTACAACCTAAGCGAAAATTACACATCAATCAACACTCTCCTACTCTACAATGTCTGCATTCCTGCTGCCGCGCTTGTTTTAAGGCTCCATAATCCTGTGTGAAATGACCGAGCCACGGCTTGTGTATACCGCTGCTAGCTGAGGCTCACTTTGCACCTTTTTAAGTTAGTGTTCTATGGTACTAGTATACAGAACCGAGTTGCTGTTTGAGTTCTGAGAACGGACCAGCCATGACCTCCTTGTGTGGTGGTTCTGTACTGTCGAGCTTCCCACGTTGAAGTTTTACTGCACCTGTGTTATGCATGAGACAGTGAGACACCAACTGCGGACTCTGCGGAGGGAGTTGTGGAATGTCGAGCGGAGTCATGGGGGTGACGTCTTTTAAACTCATGCTGCAGGGGCCTGTTCTAGGTTCACTGGATGCAAGATTTGAGCCAGATATGGATGGCAGTTATCACTCGTGGTCCCTTGTGCACTGTATTTATCACCCCTTCTCTCTCTCTCTCTCTCTCTCTCTCTCTCTCTCTCTCTCTCTCTCTCTCTCTCTCTCTCTCTCTCTCTCTCTCTCTCTCTCTCTCT